GTACTTTTGCCATCTCTGCATATACATGGATACAAAAAAATAAAACTGCTAATGTTGCACTGATGATAATTAGGTTTAATCAAATCTCTGTCTGGATTTTTATAAATGTAGATTGACTTTATTGTGACTCCTCACTAGTTGCTTGTTTTAGGGGTTCTAGGTTAGATCTTAGGAAAGAAGAAAAGTTATTTAGACAGGCAGAGGAAAATAAAACCATCTGGAGGGCAGACACAGTTTATGAATGAAAACAGGAAGACTGGATTGAGACACATTTGGAGGGAGCAGCAGAGGAAAAGAAACATCAACGCTGGTCTGAGTCCAAAGGTTCAAATGCACATCCAGATGTAGGATAAGACAAAAGTAATATTTCACATACATAAAACCGGTGTTTGTGCAGACATGCATGCGATGCCGCTGTGCTGAAGTCAGCTTTCTGCTCCAATTGTGAAATCTTTTTATTGCAGGTGAAAAAAGGGGGAACATTTATCAATAGCTAGCTTCTTCCAAAAAAGCCTTTGGGGCATTTTAAACTGTCCTTAAGGAGGATTCTAGTTAGCTCTTTTTTTCTTACATTTCTGTGATCCAGGAAGAAGGTGAAGGATTTCACTAAAAACATATATGTCTTTTTTATGTGATTTACTGTCATATTTTTTTTTTATGTTGAAAGAGGTTTAGTTCAGCGAGGTTATCTCCAAAAGCAAAAAGTTTATGAGCTGTTGACTGCCTGGAATACCTTCCTCTCTTACTTATCTTATGTCCTTTAGCTGTTCCTTATTAAATTTCCTCCTCGGTACGTGCAGACCCTTAAGGTCTCTGTCCTTTTTTTGCTGTTTCTGTAATTTCATTGTGCTCGTCTTCTTTGTGTTGACTGCCTCCAGACAGCTCTTGGCCCCTGGATATCAGGAAATACGGTACACCGCTGATGGTTCTCGCCGGTCTGCATCTCCTGCCAGCACCGTGAGTCTAAAGAAATATTTTAATGCTCCCAAACTTTGCAGAACTCTTTTCTAAGAAAACGGAAATCTGAGGTTCAGGATTCACATTGATGTTAAAGCCATGTGCTTTCTTTCTCTGGTCAGAAATTTCACACTCAAAGCTGCACAATAAAATGAATTTCTGTTTTCCAGGTGAATTGTTTCTACCATGGGGAGGTTCTGGGCATTGAAGGTTCCAGCGTTGCTGTCAGCACCTGTTCAGGGCTCAGGTAAAGAAGCAAACTTTTATTCGCTTAACTTTTACAGCTGTGTTGCTCCTGCTCTCTGCTTTATTTCCGCAGTAAAAAAATGGAGGAGACAAACCCATCAAATGGGAGCAACTTGCTGGTGCTTTTTGCAACAGGTTGCTGCTTTCAGTATGGAAGTAAATCTGTGTCGCTGGGATTTGAATTAAAAAATGCCACTGAAATTTAAATGTTGTATGTTTGTATATATTCAGAACACATTTTTGACCTAAAAAGAAGTTCATTGTCATTATTTCTACACAGTTGAAATTTCATTTGTTATTTTCTCTTCAAGCTAAAAATTCACATTACTATTTCAAAGTGATTACATTTTCAATAGTTATTTTTCAGTTTAAATTTTCAGTGTTAAAAACATCTGCATATAAAAAAATTCAACCTTTCTAAATTCAAACTCATTATTTTCAGCCCCCTGAGATTCAACTGGCTCTATTTCACTGTCTTAAATTCGGCGTCTAAATTCAGTGTAAAAAGGGAAGGGTTACTTCATGTCACAGACATTAGCAATGGATTGTGGCGTCCAACACTCAGCCAATTCCGTTACGTTTTCCTGGTCACGTGACGTGACGCTTGTGGCGCTCATACGGAAGGAAAACCAGCATGACGGAGCCGGTCATGCAAGCTAACGCTAACTCAACTACAGAAAAATGAAAGTAATCAACTCACCGTTGATTTGAAATGAAAATTCAATCCTCCTTTAAGAATTCACTATGATTCAAAACTGAATTCCTCAATAATTTCTCACTTTCAACCACCGACTTTCAAACACAGAAAAAAACGAAACCCCGATATTGAAATGGTAGTTTTTGATTAAGTCTGCGAGATCCTGGACAAGCCCCCATTTGTTATGAGTTGGGACTAGAGGAAACCTCGAACACAAAACAACAAAAGAGAACAGGCATCTAACGGAACACACAGAAAATTTCGAACATATTTCCCACAAACTAATCCATCAAACAAGAAAACTAACTTCCTTCCGGCCAAAACCTCCAGCACTCCCCTCTGGGTGGATCCATCCCGAGGATCCTTTTTTCTGTCCAGAGCCTTCCCGCAACGTCCTTACATTTCTAATCCCAAAAAGGTCTGCTGCTGCGGCAGCCACCTACACGCCTGACCTTGCTTGTCACAAAATAAAAAGAAATCACCCCACAGGTGTTCCACCACACTAGCTAAATGCTTGACTGGTCAAAGGTGCAAAAAAACAAAACAATGAAAAAGCCATCAGGAGACGTCGATAAAAAATAAAAACATGTAACAATACACTCTGTGTATACAAAAGGACAATAAATGTTGCCTAAGTCTAAGTATAAAAATGAAGAATTTCATTTAGATCGTTTTTACTGTTTGCAAACATATGAATCATAAGATGATTATGCTTAAAACAAAGAGTACTCAGATAGTCAGAGTTATAAATGTGCACTAAATGTCTATAATTGTATGTAAGAACTGACTACCGTAAATTTTGGACTATTAGCCGCACCTGAATATAAGCTGCAGACGCTAAATTGCATGATTTGTACATATACAAGCCGTACCGGACTATAAGTCGCAGGTTTTTTATGTTCAATGTCCGTCTTTCTCGCTGTCGTTCTGTCTCGTACCACTCGCGGTAGAAGTCTGCTTTCGGAGGACCTCCGCATTCCCCCGCGCACGGCTACCGTACTTGTGTGTTGAAGCAAATGTGACATGAACATGGTGGATGGTAAAATCCATAGATTTAGGTATTACCCTAGTGGCCGTCAGCTGTAAAAGTCCATAGATAAGCCGCATTGTTATATAAGCTGCAAGGTCGAAAAATGGGGGAAAAAGTCGCGGCTTATAGCCCGAAAATTACGGTATATGGGACTTATATGAGAAGATTGCCTGTGAGTCAGTTCCTTTTTTTCTTTCTTTAAAAGTAAATAGACTATGCAAACACTTTAGACTGAGCCGAAGCTGAGGCCAAATGCATGACAGTACATTTGGCCTCTAATCTGTCAAGAAGTCCATTGGGTCAGTTGCTTATTGGCTCTTAGATGGGTTCATCCAGTGCAGTTTAGTGCTGAGACCCTGTTTACTGATGTAGAGCTGCTGATGCTTCCTGCTGGAGGCACTCAGAGGAGAAGCCCCCGCTACAACGCTGCCATGAATCAAGTGTTTAAGCAGAGATGTACATCTGCAGGGAGAGTGAAGGAGTGAGCCTTCTATTCGGGAATGCAAACAAAGTGGGACGCCGACATGTGGGGGTCCGGCTTCCCCAGATGTTCTCTGCAGCTGCATGACTTTCGCTGTTTGCGCATATTTATGAACATGCTCATGTTTTGAAGAAAAGAAAACATGAGCATAAAAGAACAGGATTGTGTTTATGCTGTCTTTTTTTTTTAGCTGATTTTCTTGTTTTTAAGTGTGAGGTCATCTCAGACATGTGACTCGGCCGTTTTAACCAACATGTGAATCTGACTAAGCAAAACAAACCACCAACCTGCCCTCGTTTTTTATAGACATGTTTAATAATTACTTGTAATAAGATGAAATAATTGACAGAAAGGGTTTCGTTATTAGAACTGTTTGATATCAGCCCATTTTCAAACTGATGTGAACCGATTCTTCGAGTTCAGAGGGTTGAACCGGCTGTGTTGTCATTTCCACAGGGGACTGATTTCTCTGAACACAAGCGTGAGCTACCTAATAGAGCCTCTTCCTGACTCCATGGACGCTCAGCAGCACGCTGTGTTCAGAGCAGAGAGTCTCCGTCTGCCCGGGGGAAGCTGCACGCATCACCATGGCAACCAGGAGCATTACGCCGGGCTCGGTGACTTCATCCAAGGAATGGTGTCGCCACAGAACAAGAGGGTGGGCGGCCATCTTGATGATATCATTGCAAATTTGATTCATTTGATTGGTTCAGATTTTATTATGTAAAAGTAAAAAACTGTATTTTAGATTTTATGTGACAAACCAATGAAAGGGAAGTTGATTTATTGTGAAGTCAGAAAGTGATGCAAGTTTTCTTATCTTCTCTGCTGCCCCCATTTATTCTTTTTTTGCTTCCTTGCTAATCCCACTCCCTTCTCTTTTTATTGTTTTTCTGCATATTTGGAGAGTTCATATCCCCCCTTAATGTGCAAACTATCAAACTCAGCCAGTGAGATGTCCACCTGCAGCTGTGGTGTGTGTGTGTTGGGAATCCTTCCTCATCTGGGCGCTCTCTGTCTGCTGCTAAGCTAATTTCAGTGCAAAGTTGGCAACTTTACAATGGAAAAACAATCTAGAAATAACTTAAAAGTTTACTAAATTAAGTGTATTTACCCTTAATTTGAGTAGGAAATGAAATTGTTTGCCAATGGAATGAGTATTTTTACTCTTAAAACAAGATAATTAGATAAAATGCACTTGAAACAAGACAATTCAATTGTGTTTTCTTATTTTAAATGTAAATTGTCTTGATCCATTGGCAAAATGTCTCTTTTTCCTCCTCAATCCAAGAACAAATGCGCTTTTTTTTTCTTCTTATCTAGATTTCGATTTTTTTCCAGTGTTTTCCAGTTTTTTTCCGGCCTGCTAGGATAAAACCCTCAGCGTGTTTAGGGTCATGGGTTACTTTTTGCCAAACGTAGCATTAAGTTATCGGCCGGAAAGTTCAATTTTTTGTTGCCATCTGATCAGACGACATTCTCCCATTTCCCTAATGGGTCGTTCACACCAGCTCCCAAAAGGCCTCCAATGCTTCAAATTGGACAAGTTGGATTTTTTGAAATGAGACGCTCTGGCTGCGTAGGGCTCCAGTTTTTAAGCTGCTCTGTTCTTTTTTCCCCCAATCAATTAAATTCAATTCGGTTTATTTCTATAGCGCCCATCCACAACACACGTCATCTCAAGGCACTTTACAGTTCAACCAGATCATCCAG